GAATATTATTACACAGCCACATAAGATGGGTGCAGAAAGCAAGTCCCACACAACTCGAGGCCTTAAGAAGCTTGAAGCCAACCAAAACATAACGATATGCTGTTCAGACATCACCAGGAAGATGAGAAAACTACTTTTAAAAAATAGGATGGAGGTGATAACCACAAAATCCAAGCTAGAGGTTTCCCCCTGTGGAGGGGGGCAGGGAACAGGGTGGGGAAGGGCCCAGAGGGAGAGACTGGCTAGCAGTGTTCTGTCCTCTAGTTGGGTGTGTGTGTGGCAGGAGCGGGGTGGGGGGACAGCAGGGGAATTCATGAGCATTGGCTGTTATATGTAATACTAGAATAAACAAAATAAAAGGCCATTCATGGTGCAATTATTATAGTTCATTACGCTGATGAAGGATTAGGATTAATCCAGTTCTAATCACCAGAGGTATAAAAAGATAGAAAAATAGCTAACAAAAATAAACAGCACCCCAACAATAAAATTTATATGTGCTTCTCCACCCCAACACACATATTTACAGGATGATTAATTATGATAATTATAAACGAGGCTTTTTGTTAAAATCGTGATTCTACTACTCATAATTACCACTCTGTAGTAAGGAGCATAGGTTCCTAGCCAGTCAGACCTGGGTTCAAATCCCAGTTTTGCCATTTGCTAGCCACGTGACCCTGGGAAAGTGGCTCCTCCCCTCAAACCCTTCCCTTCGAAGGACTGTAAGATGAAGATTAAAGAACATATGTAAATGTACGTAGAAAGAAATATGCATTGTGTGTAAGGTATGTAAAAACTACATGCCTGTAACGTGTGCACAAAGCCTGATAGGTTGTGCTACAAATCAACTTTCTGAATGAATTGAGTCAACTTGTTTGTTGAATAAATCAAGTTTAAAGCAGGTTTTGTGACAATGCCTGTCATCCCATGTGACCCTTAACAGGAAAACAGCAGTCACGATGTGGAAGCACATCCTGGTAGCAGATGGGAACATCTGTGTTCAGTGTGGAGTGGGCAGAGTCCATTCACCTCTGCCACCGAGCCTGGCCATGGCCGGAAGTACTGGAGTGACTGAGCCTCAGACCTCACCTAAACTACAAGGGGGCTGATCATGGCTGCTATAGACCCTACTGGCTTGGGCGTGGTGATCCGCCTTCTGAAATCCCCAGGCTGCTTGTGCAAGGAGAGGGCTCCTACCTGCAGGAAGGTCAGGGCTGCTCTCTGCAGCAGGCATTCTGCGTAGCAGACCTCAGCGTGGATTTCCTCTGCGGGGAGAAAACCAAAGCCCTGTGACCTCCTGGGACTCTTGGCAAGAGGCCTAGGCCAAATCCGCCTCACCCCCACTTCCCAAAAGGCAAAGGGAGCCTGAGTCAGCACCCTCCCCAGCCCCCTCCACCCAATCTCCAAGGTCTGGTTCTCTCCTAGCACTTACGGCTGTCCCAAATTAGTTTACGTCTTCCCCCCTTGTCTTCCTCCTGTTCCCCCATCCCGCCACCCAGAATGTCAGCACAGGGCCTCGGCCTGCTCTCTTGCTCTCCAAGCATCGCTGTGGTGCTGTGCACCAACACTCCCATGGTGCCAGGCAAGGAGAAGGCACTGGGTTGAACTGATGAAGAAGATTCTGATCTGGGGAAGCCCACAGGCTGCGGGAGTAAGGGAAGGAGGTCTAACCCCAGCCGGGAGTCAGGGAAGACTTCCCGAAGAAAGGACATTTGAGTTTGGCCATTTGAGTTGCAAAAGGAACAGAAGGATGAGGCAGGAAGAGCTTTCTAGGTAGAGGCAGGAAGAGCTTTCTAGGTAGAGGCCCAGGAGAGCCAAACAACTCAGATATTTGGGACCCTCGAGACACAGGTGGTTAAAATGGGGTAAGGTGGGGAGAGATTTAGACGGCAGGAAAAGATGAGGAAAAGCAGAGGACCACTGGCAGAGAGCCATGAACACTGGCCTTGAAGGGGTTACAGATCTGGTCCTGTGGGCAGCAGGAAGCCATGGAATGTATGAAGGAGGGAGCGACACCATCATATGCATTGTTTCTTGCTGGCAACTCTAGGGCTCTGGAGGTGGGGAAGGCCATTCGCACTGAAGAGCCTGAAATTGCTCATGGTTGGCTGTTGCTACCTCCAGGACATGTACATATGGTCACAGCACGAAAACGCCACATAGGCTCTGGAACCCCAGACCATCTCTTCCACTGCTTTCAGCTGTCTCGTCCCACCTAGTGTGTCAGCTTCTAAAACCTCATTCCTTCTGGGGCACATGAGATCGCTACATACATAGACCAGTAAACCTAACTTCACACACAATTCTAAGCCCACCCCGGCCTGAGGAGCAAAGCACACAGACTTTGTGACAGAATTTTCTCTCCTGGACTTCCAGGTTCTTAACAGGTAAAGCCATCAGGTAAGTGAGTCTCGTCTGCTCCCCCTTCACCCGAGAGCCCCTCCTCAAAAGGCCCCAGGGTTGACCCATCTGTGTCCCAGCAACTAGGCCAGGGCCCAGCACCCTCAGTGATGACTGGGAGAATGAGCACCCCTTCCCGCCCCTCTCTGCGTCTGGAACAGGGCCGCCTGAGGTCTGCAGGGTTGAGAGGACATCCTGGGTGCCACACCTTCCGTGAACTGGTCCATAGTGTGGCGGTGTACCAGGTTGCTGAAGGAATCTGTTACAGAGGACTTCTTCCGGTGCCTAAAAAGGAAAAAACGGCCTTGGATCACTCAGCGAAGGTGAGCGAGGGGCCCGGGTTGGGTCCGACCGCATCTCCTGCTCTTCCCATAGAACTCCGCACACAGTGAACTCCTGGCAACTCCCCCAAATCTAGGGCTTTCTCACACCCTTGCCCCTGCTGTTGCCTCTGCTTGGAGCACCCTCCTCTCCTCCCTCTGCTCCTAGTCATCCTTCAGGATCCAGGTCTAGCATTACATCCTCCAGGAAGCCTTTCCTACTCTTCAGCTGGACACCCATGATCCCTTGAGCTTCCCTGCATCGTGCTGAGATATCATTGTCTGTGCCTGTCTCTCCAACCAGGCAGTGTGGGCATCAGAGGGGCCCAGGTCTGATGATTCCGTGCATGGCCAGTATCCAGCACAGGACCTAGCCTAGGACAAGCATGAGTGTGTCCCCACTAAATGACGACCGCCTGCACACAAACACTCGGGGTCTACTGGTTCATTAATTCAAGGAGTTAATATGTATTGAACACCAATTATATACCAAGTCCGGTGACTAGTGTCTTCATTCAGTCCCCACCTATCAAAAAACACACCCAAGAGGGACTTGCCCAAGGTCAAGTGATAGAGCCAGAATTAAGTGACAGAGCCAGAATTCACCTCCTCTCAACCAGGCCTGGGCCCTGGGAGCCTCTCAGTGAGTGGCTCTGACAATAAGGCTCCTGAGGCAGTGATGATAGGGACAGCTCTTAGCACTTGAGGACACATCTTCTCAGCCAAAAGGAACAGCACTCATAATGACATTTTAGGCACTGGAATAGGCCAGGGTGACAGGATAGGCCTCACAACACCTTATCCCTCCCCGCGCTGGGGCCCTGACCTCTGACACAGCAACTGCGCCTCCTTCATCATGTTGCCAGCAAGCAGGATGTCCTGAGGGTCAAAGGTCATCATGGCCTGCATCTCCAGGATGGTGGCATATGTCAGCGAATGGTACATGCTCTCCTTGGTCCTGCCAGGGAGAAAGGACATAGGTACCTCCTATAACCTCAGAGGTAACTGGCCCTGTGTCAATCATCCACCATCTTCTCTCCCATTCAGCATGGGGAGAAATAGAGGTCCAGGGAGAAGAAGAGACTTACTTGAGATCTAAAGACCTCAGATCCCAGCTGAGTGGCCCTGTGACTTTCCAAATCTGAGCCTGTTTCTATTCTGCTGAGAAGACTCAAAAATGGCTTAGCAATGTTGGCCTGAGGCCACGCTTCCCTCCACCCAGGGCTGCCTCTCACCTTCTGCCCCACCTCCCACTGGCAGAGCCCAAGTCTTATCTGTGGGATCTCTTTACCCTCAAGCCCCACCCCTGGGCTTGTCCCATCCTTGTTCCCGGGACTGCCTCACTGGCCTCCCACCTGCTCCCTCTCCTAATTCTATCATCTGATCATGTCACTCTCTAGTTCAACCTCTCTGGTTAAACCCTCCCATGGCTTCCACATCCCATGAGATAACGCTCAGGTACGGCACTTTGCAAAACGCAGGCCCTGCCCACCTCTTCAGTTCAGCCCTCTTTTCACTTCTGCTTCTGCTCTGTGATCTGGTCACATTTGAGACTGCACTGCACATGCTCTCCTCAAGAAAACCCCACACTTTCCCCACTCCAGGTCTTTGCCCATGCAGCTCCCTTAGCTTGAAATGCCCTTTCCTAATCCCATGTCCCTTGACTCATCCATCTGTCAAGGCCTTAAATACTTCAAAGGCCTCTCTGGGAATCCAGGGCTCCCTCCCCAGACTGGGTACCTCAGGGACAGAGCCTGTGTGGGACTCATCTCTGTCCTCAGCACTGATGTGACAGGACCAAGCAAGCTTGCCTCAGGAAGCCTTCCCCTCTAGCCTCCCTGCTTCTCCTCAGCCCCAGACCTCTCAACTAAAGAGTGTGTTGGGGCTGGGGACATTTAGTCTAACAGAGAGCAGCAGGCAGGGAGGGACAGGAACAATGTCAGTCCATCTCCGTACTTAGAGAAGGCATAACATGCCTGTGCCTTGATTTATGCTTCTACAAAGTGGGGACGATAATGCTGGCCTGCTTGGGTCCATGTAGGGCTGGCTGGGGAGGACCCTTGTCTGGCACACAGTAGGTGCTGCAGAGGTTCACTCCCTTCCCTATAACCCCTTGTTAATTATTTACGAATCTCTTCAGTTCCAGGCTTATGCTGGGAACTTCAGGGCAAAGAAAGATGGACTAAGGTTTATAGACTGTTCTGTTGTAAAATCACATGATTTTACCTGTTTTCCTGCCTTTCTCATTCACAAACACCTCTGTACATTAAGTTGCTTTTTTACTTCTGGGTGACTCTCAGGTGATATCATCCTTGGGAGTCAAAGGTTTTTGAAGAAAACCAGTGGTTGGTCGACCCCTCACCAGCCCTCGCAGCTGTCAGGACACCTCCCTGGTCTTTGCTAGAACCACTTTATCTTAGGGCAGAGACTTGTGGAAAGGAGGCCGCAACCTGCAGTGAGCAGAGCTCAGGCTTCGAAGTCTCTCAGCCATAGGTTGAAATCTCGTCTTTGCTCAATACCAGCAGTTTGACCCTGGTGAGTCTTGTAGCCTCTCTGAGCCTCGATTCTCCTCTCTAAAATGCATGCCATTAACCTTTCTCTCCTAGGACTCCTGGTGGCTTAAATAAGCCAGGGCCATATTGCCAATGCTCAATCAATGCAAGTCGCTCCACCGCCCGCTTGGGTCAAGGGTCATTGCCTTAGATCAAAGCTTTCTCCTTGGGGACGGGTTTCCCGGTAGCACACAGATCCATGCCTCCCCAGATTACCCCTTCCCATCAGGCTTCTCTAACTTGCAAGCCCTTGCTTTTTTCTTCCTCTCTCCCTAAACCCCCGCCTCTGCCACCCCTCAGGCCTGACGCCAGGGATTCGGCCCCACCCTCTCAGCGCACCCGTGCTGAGCCCAGAAGAAGGAACAGCCCCGCCTGGGCAGCTGGCAGGCAAAGTGGAATTTCTAGTCTGAGGTCTGAAGCCACCGGCATGCTGCTGGGGCTGGGAATCCTGGCCTCTCCCCAGCTCACCACCGAGAAGCTCCTCAAATGTGGTATGGACTGGAATTTGAGGTACAGAGGTATGACAAGTCCCCTGACCTGAGACATTCCAAGTTTAGTTTGCACTCCACAAAGTTCTCGTTTGCACATAAAGCAGCCAGCCACCTGGCAGCAACAGCCCCCTCACCTCTGAGCTAGACCCAGCTCTGGGACACCACGCCCACTGGGGTCGCACCTTCTGGGCCTAGACCAGCTGTCAAGATGGGGAGGGTACTGGAAGAGCCCTCGGAAGA